CACAGCCACTGTAATCTCCACCGGTATTTGGAAGGACTGAATATACACAGATGTGGTGTGGCAGCACAAAGGGAGATCACTGGGACCTGATCTCTGTGTCATGTGGGGATTTCTCCTGCACTGCACAGCCCCCCTAAATCCTGCTCTTTCCTTTACCCCCTCCTACCTCAGAGGAAATGCACTAATTTTGTTGCAAGAGGACTTCTACACAATAGAAAAGGGGGAAAGATTTGTAACTACTTTGGTTATTGTTTATTTGTATCTATTTTCATAAGAAAAAAGGATGTTTAAAATATTGACAGTTGGAGGTTAAATAAAAACAAGTAGTAATTGAGAGGCATGCTTGGCTTATTGAATTTTAGAAGATCTAGCCCAGTTCCTGTTAAAACCTGGCCAATATGTCTTCATCATGGGAAAACGTTTTGTGTCCACTGTGTAAGTTGCATAACGTTGGACGGAATGTAAAGGCACAGAAACACTCATTTGTATAGCTGAACAAAACTTTGTTGCAATAATACATAGGCGCTGTTGAAATAGACATAGACATAGCGATGACTCCTGGTATCTACCTAACTTTCCAGGGCAGGGTCTTTTTTTGGTACATATCTTTTCTGAACTTGATTAGCCCTTGATTGAACAGGTCTTCTCTGAACATCCAATGTACCCAAGATATGGAAAAGACACTCACATGTGTTAAGGGTCTCCCCACACTTGCATTGTGCCCTGTGTTTTGTTCTTTTTTTTTTTCGCTGTTAATTTCTAAGCTCCCATCTACTCTCTTGATTCCCACGAGCACATGGTGCTGATGATCTGCCAGACTGGGGCCATAATTAATTGCTCCCTATAGTCATCCAGTTTGGAACTATACCTCCTATTTTAACTTTCCCTTTGAACAAAACAATCACTTTACTAACTACTGTTTTAAACATTCTACTAGGATGTGAATATCCCTATACTCTACAGAAATGAACATCAATTCCAATAACATGGTCACATTCTTCCACAGCCCTTGATCATGTATGCTACAGGTCATGTCTTGACAACAACTACAGCAAAAAATCTTTTAATCCCTATAGTACTGTTATGAGTTTGTACCACTTATTCTAGTTTTAAAAAACTCTCCTTTTAGTTCCTTTCAGGGTTCCTGTGCCACTTGTGTCATTCTCAGTCTGAATAGTGTGAAAGTTGTATTAAAATTCTCCAGACTGAAAAATGGCAGGGAATCTTAAAATATACCATAATTAAAGCCCAACAGACTAGATTTCCTCTGTGAAGAAAGACTAGAAGAAATGGGTATAAGCCAATATGGCTTCATGAGGGACATCTCAAAAATCAGAAAGTAAAAACAAATTTATACTGGAAAAAGTCATAAGCAACAAAATAAGAATACACAGAGAAAAGATAAGCAAAAACTCAGAATAAGCTCCCTAATCCTGCTTTGGGATCCACAGATCTTTGTGGCATCCTAGTGAAGTAATGCAGAATTGAGCACTAAATTGATGCTAGCCAAAGGGGTAAGTGGAATAAGAAGTGTTTTTACAAATATATGGAAGGAAAAAAGAAGGGCTAAAACTTCCTCAACAAAGGCCCTTGTGACTATATATAGAGGAGAGTTGTGATCCCGTTTGAACATAGACAGGGTTTGTCCAGGCTTGAATTTACAAGTGTGTTAGTTAAGTCAAGTTAATTGACAATCAATGATTTAAGGCTGGATCACCAGCTCTGGTCTAGACAAACGGTGTGTGTCTGTCTTTGCTACCACTCCATCCTGAGCGTAGTATTAATCAGTAACAAAGCCCTTTCCACGCCAGAGTCCTTTGCCCTGATGGTTGGGGGCAGAGACCACCCTCTGGGCCCCACCTGCCTTAACATATAGGGGGCAGGAGAGGGAATGTGGCCAAGTCTTGCGATTTAAACACTATTCAGTAATTTTTTAGTCACGGGTACTAACCACGCATGCGCTGCTCCACGCTGCTAGACACACCCACCCATAAGTCTCTCTCACGGCGTCACTCCCCTGCTCTTCCAATCGCCGTCGGGGTGCTTTCAATTCCCCTCCTCTCCCGGGTTGCGAAGACCGCGTCTACCTCACCTGCGGCGCGCGCTGGAGGTCGCAGTGGTTTGTGAAGATCCGGGCTATTGAGACGTGCTCCCCCCTCCCCTTGCGCCGCCGGCTCTCGGGCGCGCGCCACCAAGCCACCTAAGCGGTCACGCGCCAGTCGCCGAACATTGGAAGAAAGTTACCAGCCGAGGGCGGGGCGGAGCCGAGTCGCGACCGGGCCGGGCCGGGGCCGAGAGAAACGGGTGCTGCGTGCGGGGCCGTCCGGGGCTGGAGGTGAGGCCGCTGGAGCCGCTGGTGGGGCGGGTCTGCAGCCGGAGCGGGGGCGAGCGGCAACTCCGCCAGTCCAGGCAGGGGGTCCTGGGGCCAGGCTGCGGCGTCCGGAGCTGCGGGGGCAGCGCTGGCCCCGGGGTGGGCGGCCGCGGCGGCGGGAGGGATCAGTCCTGGCGCGGGGGGTCGGTCCGCCTGCTCCGGGGATTCGCCCTGTCCCTGTAGGGGGGCCAGGGGTGGCCGCGATCGGCGCGGTGTGCGCGGCGTTGTGCGCGCCCGCCCGCCCGCGGAGAGAGGGGACCTGCCGAGCGCAGCCGCCTGCCCCCGCTCTGCCCGGCGGTGGGGGCTGTGTGTCGGGGTGGCGTGGGGTGGGGGGACGTTACAGTTACATGACCCTGACTGTCGTGGTGCTAACCAGCCTCGCGGACCCTGAGCGCACCTCGCCACCTGTTTCCTAACCCCCTTTGGCGTCAGGCGTCCTTCCACCCATCCCCTTCTCCCACCGCGGGTTGATCAGTTGCTAAAATGTCTTTAAGTTGCTAGTGCCACCCCGACTCTAAATAGATGCGAACGTCTCGGGGTAAATATTTTGCATATAAAGCCTCTCCAGGCGATGCTTCTGGTCATTCGTTGGTTTTCATGTGGCTGGTTTGTTAAACGGCATATATGGCGGGGGGATAGTGTTGTTGCATTGGTGGTGCAACGAGAGATTAAATGCTACGCTGCCCTCTAAATTGAGAACAGTGGTGTTTTTATCTTAAAACATTTCAAAAAAGATGTTTACTTTATATGTTACTACAACTCCTATAAACAAACTTACTGGTTTATGTCCCCTCCTAATGTGATTGACTGTAATATTCAATCAATGCAAGCTCATATTTATGTATGTAAATGTAGAATGCAAAGTTAAAAGGCATGTGACAGCTAGGTTAAATATTAAGTAATATTTTATGGACCTGTTGTAAACCTTCTTTGAAAACAGGAAATGCAAGTATAGGTATAATAGGGTGGATTTCCACTGCTTGAAATTTGATCACTTGTAGCATAATATACAGCTTCTAGATAGGTTTCAGAGTAGCAGCTGTGTTAGTCTGTATCCGCAAAAAGAACAGGAGTGTCAATTTAGAGACTAACAAATTTATTAGAGCATAAGCTTTCGTGGACTACAGCCCACTTCTTCGGATGCTCCTAGATAGTTTCCTTTATACAAAGAATGTTTCAGAAGCCGTGTGAACTGCATGCTCAGTGCCTCAGATGTGGAAGTTATGTAAATTTATTCCTTAATTGGACATATTTGGTTTTCTGTGCATTTTCATTGTCTGACAAGCTTTTCAGACCCTTTAAGAACAAATATGGGAAATTTAGTTGTATTGTCCATTCTCTGCATAAATCATCTTTTTCCTGGTGTGCTTCATAAAAGAAAACATGCAGCATCTGCTAAATATATTTACTTACATCCTAAGCCCATAAAGATTTATGAACTTACTTAACTTTGAAGTCAATGGGACCATTCAGAGTGCAAAAAATTAAGCATAAATCTTTTGCTGATTAAGTCCCCAGAGACTACTTTGGATTATGTATTGAAATTACTGTACACTTGTGAATCTAAACGTGGTTGACGCATTTCTGTTTTACTATCCTATTCTTGAAATGAAATGAAGGCAGAATTTGAGGTATTAAAAGGGTGAGTTTATACTATGTTTTGAAAAGTAAAGTTTTACAGCTTGATTAACCAAAGTAGTGCTATTTGTTACCAATAAAGTTTTTTATAACAAAAGTAAACAATATTATTAGTAAAGTCAACATTTTTATCAACAACTATTTTTGTTTATATATGTGTATTGTAAGTAATAACTCTTTTAAGGCTATACTTCACTGGATCAGTCATACACACAGTTTTTCAACATGTATTAACATTTTTAACAGAATTCTGTAGAAAGCCTCCTCATAAGGGTGTGTGTGTGTGTGTGTGTGTATAAATACATATACAAATAAAAAATCAGTATTAAATACAAAGATTACATTAGTATTCACATAAAGCATCTCAAGCTTCACAAGAATACTTTGAACAACTGATGGTACCTGGTGCAGAAGAATCTTTTGCAATGTTACTTATGGAAATGAGAAATGGTTTGTACTAATATCTGATTAGTTGAACTACATTTTCCTCAGTTTCCTGGCATTTGTGAGGATCAAAAAGAGGAGATGTTATAGTACTGAAGCTGTAAAATGAGAATCTGAACCAGAGTTTTAGCTGTATGGACAGAGAGGAAAGGCTGTACCTTAAATATGTTGTGCAGGAAGAAGTGGCAAGGTTTAGACCAGGGGTCGGCAACTTTTCATAAGTGGTGTGCCGAGTCTTCATTTATTCACTCTAATTTAAGGTTTTGCATGCCAGTAATACATTTTAACATTTTTAGAAGGTCTCTTTCTATAAGTCTATAATATATAACTAAACTATTGTATGTAAAGTAAATAAGGATTTAAACCTTTTTCAAACACTTTTTAAGATGTTTAAGAAGCTTCGTTTAAAATTAAATTTAAATGCAGAGCCTCTTCTC